TGTCCTGCCCTGCTCCTCAGCTCGCCACAGCAAGACCGCAGGCACTGTAGGCGAGGGCCGAAAATTCGACCTTGTCCTCAGTGCGCGTGTGATAGGTGCTCTGCATGGTCTTGTTCACAGAGAAAGACTATGTTCTCTGTTCACAGATACATTGATCTGTCTCAGGAATTCACTCCCTTTTTCCAATTCCCACAGCCACATCTGCCCAGAGGCTAGCGCACATTAGGAGGAGGAAGAAGAGGACACGGGAAGACATGTTTGCTGAACTAATGGCATGCTCCCGAGCACAGGCAGCCCAGCAGACACAGTGGAGGGAGAACTTGTCCCAAATGCACCGGGCAAACACGGAACGGGAGGAGAGGTGGCGACAGGAGGACAGGCAGGCTACTCAAACGCTGCTTGGACTAATGAGGGAGCAAACAGACACGCTCCGCCGCCTTGTGGATGTTCTGCAGGACTGGAGGCAGGAGGAGAGAGCCCCGCTGCAGTCTCTCTCTAACTGCCCTGCCCCGCCACCAAGTCCCATACCCCCCTCACCCAAAGTCCAAACACGGAGGGGCGGAAGGGGCCGTGAAAAATTTCACTCCACCCCTGCGGACTGCTCTACCACTAGAAGGCTCTCATTCCCCAAAATTTGAAAAGTCCTTTCCTACCCGCCTCAGAAACCCGCCAAGTTTCACCCCCCCCGTTCCATGTGCGGTTGTTAATAAAAAATACGTTTTTGTTCATTATTGTTTCCATCCTCTTCTTTTAGATGAGAGTCTGTCTGAAGGGGGGGGAAGGGGCTTGGTAATTGGACAGGACAGTCACCTTTAGCAGGGGGCAGGTCCAGCAGCAGGGCACATATACAGTGCAGTGACTAGTTATCCTGGTCAGTCTGGGAGGTGGTTTTCATGTTCTGTGTGGTGGGGGGGGTGGTGTTGCTCTGTGACTTGGTGGCGGGGGAGGGCAGTTACAGATCTTATGCAGCGGTCCTTACCCTGGATCACAGAGCCGCGCAGCAGGGGATCTGTAACCCTCCTCCCCCTGCAAGACAGTCACATAGCCGACACATACACGCAGTCCCGGCCAGGAGGGCTGGCTGGCTCCGTTGAAACAACCAGTCCACCACCGCGGAGCCTGTCATTCCTGGAGTTTAGAAGCATCATTTGCATCACAACACTAAACCCGCCCCCCGCCACAGTCTGCGTCCCAGGTTTAAAACATTCCCGCGAAAACAGTAATAAAGACAACGGTGTCCATTAACAAAACAGAACAGATTTTATTTTTTGGGAATGGGGTGAAGGGGGTATGTAACTGGAGAGGATAGTCGACGGCAACTGGGTAAAGAAACGGGGGCAAGTTCAGCTTCTGTGTCCACAAACTTAAAAGTCACTGGGTACCCTGCTCAGCCTTGAAACTGGCTTTCAAAGCCTCCTGTATGCACAGCGCGTCCCGCTGGGCTCTTCTAATCGCCCGGCTGTCTGGCTGGGCGTAATCAGCAGCCAGGCTATTTGCCTCAACCTCCCACCCCGACATAAAGGTCTCCCCCTTGCTCTCACAGAGATTGTGGAGCACACAGCAAGCTGCAATAACGATGGGGATATTGGTTTCGCTGAGATCACAGCGAGTCAGTAAGCTTCTCCATCTCCCCTTGAGACGGCCAAAAGCACACTCCACCACCATTCTGCACTTGCTCAGCCGGTAGTTGAAGAGTTCCTGTGCAGTGTCCAGGGCCCCAGTATAGGGCTTCATGAGCCAGGGCATTAGCGGGTAGGCTGGGTCCCCGAGGATCACTGTAGGCATCTCCACATCCCCAACAGTTATCTTGTGGTCCGGGAAGTAAATGCCTTCCTGCAGCCGTCTAAACAGACCAGAGTTCCTGAACACGCGAGCGTCATGAACCTTGCCCGGCCATCCGACGTAGATGTTTGTAAACCGTCCCCGATGGTCCACCAGTGCTTGCAGCACCATTGAAAAGTAGCCCTTTCTATTGATGTACTGGCTGGCCTGGTGGCCCGGTCCCAGGATAGGGATGTGAGTCCCATCTATAGCCCCACCGCAGTTTGGGAATCCCATCGCAGCGAAGCCATCTATGATGGCCTGCGCGTTTCCCAGGGTCACTACCTTTGACAGCAGTACCTTGACGATTGCCTTGGCTACTTGCAGGACAACAACCCCCACGGTAGATTTGCCCACGCCAAAGTGGTTCGCGACTGACCGGTAGCTGTCCGGCGTTGCAAGCTTCCAGAGGGCTATGGCCACTCGCTTCTGGACAGTCAGGGCTGCTCGCATGCGGGTGTCCTTGCGCTTCAGGGCAGGGGACAGCAACTCACAAAGTTCGAGGAAAGTCCCCTTCCGCATGCGAAAGTTTCGCAGCCACTGGGATTCATCCCAGACCTGAAGCACTATGCGGTCCCACCAGTCCGTGCTTGTTTCCCGGGCCCAGAATCGCCGTTCAACAAAATCCACATGCCCCATTGCCACAGTGATGTCCTGGGCGCTGGGGCTCGTGGTTTCTGACAGCTCTGTGCTACTCTCCGACTTCAGGCCCTCACGCCGGTGCCGTAGCCTCCTCGCCTGATTTCTCTGCATCTGCCTCAGGGAAAGGTGTATGATAAGCTGCGAGGTGTTGAGAACGGCCACAACTGCAGCGATGGTCGCAGCGGGATCCATGATCGCAGTGCTGTGGCGTCCGCACTGTCACTGATCAAAAAGTGCGCGAACTGATTTCCCGCCGGCGCTTTCAGGGAGGGAGGGAGGGAGGGCGGTAGTGACTGACGGATGACGACAGTTACCCAAAAGCACCCTCGCCACATTTTTTTACCCAGAAGGCATTGGCGGATCGACCCAGAATTCCAATGGGCGGCGGGGACTGCGGGAACTGTGGGATAGCTGCCCACAGTGCACTGCTTCCAATGTCGACGCTTTCCCTGGTAGTGTGGACTGACAAAGTCGAATTACTGTCCTTAGGGTAGACACATACGTTCGACTTTCTAATATCGATTGCACATATTCGATTTAACTAAAATCGAACCACTCTCGTAGTGTAGACATACCCTCAGAATAGTCATTAAGGTCTGATTCACATCAGGGACTTGAATCAGTCTTCCACATGCCAAGCTAGTGCCATTGCCTTTTGGCTATTCTGGGGTGTGGGTTTTTTCATTAAAAGTTTTTGTTCACATCAGAGCAGATATGTTAAAACCTCAAATTTTTTTGTGAAGTGGAATTCTTGTTTTCCGGATGGACCTATAGTGGAAAGAAATATATTACAGCCCTCTGGATCGTGTGTGAAAGTGTTCAGAGATTTCATAGCCTCCCAAATAAAGGAATTTATATTACCTTCATCAGAGAAATATCTGGGCATTTCACAAACATTAAAGGCCTATCCTTGGAACACACTTGTGAGATAGGGAAATATTTATTCTCATTGTACAGATGGGAACCAAAAGATTAATGGCAAGGGTTTTTTGTTTGTTTTGGGGTGGGGGTTACGCTGCTAGGCATGGGTGCTTAAAATGGATTTAGGATCTTAACACTAAATGTGTACGTGTGTGTGTGCATTTTTTATTATATATAATATAATAAATATATATTATATATAACGTTCTAATATATATCAATAAAATAAAAATACACGCACACACACATACATATATGGAAAAGTCACTTAAGGCCAAGATTAAAAACGTGTGTGTGTGTGTGTGTGTGTGTGTGTGAGTGACAGTGACAGTGAGGCCGGGCGGTTGCAAAAGGGTCTTGGAAGGCCGATATGTTAGCCCTAGAATGTTAAAGGCCTTTTTCCTACAAGCTAAGAGGGGTTACCTCAGGTCAATTAGGGACACCTGAATCCAATTAAGGGCTGCCTGAGGCCTTTACAAAACTCTCCTCTAGGCAGAGAAGAGGGGGGAGAGAGACAAGCTACGGCTTTTCCGGGCTGAGAGGCTGTGCTCCTTCCCATAGGGGAACAGCCAAACCTGAGTGCCTGCTAGGCAGGGGCGGCTCTGTTTTTTGCCGCCCCAAGCATGGCAGTCAGGCGGCCTTCGGTGGCACGCCTGCGGGCAGTCCACTGGTCACCCGGATTCGGCGGCGTTTCTGCGGGTGATCTGCCGGTCCTGTGCCTTCAGCGTACCTGCCACCGAATTGCCACAGGACCGGCGGACCTCCCGCAGGCATGCCGCTGAAGGCTGCCTGACTGCCGCCCCCCACGGCTTGCCGCCCCAGGCACGCGCTTGCTGCGCACTGGTGCCTGGAGCCGCCCCTGCTGCTAGGGGAAGGACTGACAGCTCAGGGCAAGCAACAGGATGACACCGTGCCCCAGTGAGGAGGCAAGGAAAGGTATTCCCTTTTGTTTTGGGGTTTAAGAGACTGTTTCCTTTTTCTTTGATGAAGGATCACCCATTAGGTCAACCGTGTGGCCTACCCTGGAAACACCGCCAAAGGAGCACAAAAGGGGGGGGAAGCAAACACTGCCCAGAGTGGGACTGATTTACCCCAGACCCGCCATCGCCAGAGAGGGAAGTGCTAAGTCTGGCGAAACGGAAGAGGTGCCTTGCCACATTATATGTGTTTTTAATCTTGGCCTTAAGTGACTTTTCCAAGGTCACACAGGAAGTCCTAAACAGAGCTGGAAACTGAACCTATTTCTTAGAAGCATTTTAGTGCCTTAATGGCAAGACCACCTCTTCTCCCCATAGGGATAAGTGATCAGTTTTCAACAGGAAGTGGTTAACAAGAGGATGCCCGAAGATGTATAACTGTATCTTCAGAGTTGGGAACTTTTATTCATCCTTTTCTCCCAAAGCACTATAATTTGAACAGCACTAATAATATAAGCTGGTCTAAATTTTGATTCTGACTTTTGAGTTTAATTCAATCTCCAACAGAAATGAAGACCTCTGTATGGCAGAGTTACTCTTCCCTGTGATTGCTAGTTAAGCAGTTTCAAGATGAGTTACGTAACTCTTAAACTTGGTTTTCCTTAAACTTGACTGGTACTTTTTTACTTTGATTGACAGGTTATTAACACTGGGATAAAAGTCTGGTCTCGCAACAGTGATGGTGAACAGTTCGGCTGTGCCTTCAGACTAGCACAAGAGGTAATTGCAAAGCACTATGCTTTCATATCATGGGATCTCTATTCATATTTCCCACAGTGCCTGCTGTATCCTCAATATGAATGTTGCATATTGTGAAATGCAGCCTCCAAACTTAGTGTTTTAAACTGCATTAAACAAATGGATTGCGTTCTGATGTTACTGTTCATTCAGAGCTTTTCTTTAATTTGATCTTTTGTCAGAAAGCAGTGTGGTGATAGCTGGTGTGGCATACAGCTGAGAATGTCAAACTCAGGACAGACTGATAAAAATAGGACACACACACCCAAAACTGGTGTTTTATTCTAACATTAGTTTCACCAAACCAGTAACAGAATGAGCTTCTGTAGCAGTACACTGGTTAACAAGAAGCTAACAACACAGTCCCCGTATCACTACCCAGACATCTGGGCTTTATGATGAGAGGTTACTGAAAACCTGATTCATCACATATGAAGTTCTTCCTATCCCAAAGGATTGGTCAGTTCCCCAGGTCATTATATAGACTTAGACCTTACCCAGATATCACACTAAAGCCAATTCTTTTAGTCTAAAGGTTTTATTATTTAAAAAAAAAAGAGAGTTGTTAAGTAGTCAAAGGAATCATATACATTACAAGTGATTATAGAGTTGTGGATCAGGTTCATAGCAGAGATGATAATTCTGCTGGCTTGCAAAAGTTGCTTTCTGGATCACGCCCGAAAGCTTCAGGGTCATTCAGTCCCTTGTTCAAAGCTTCCATAGAAAGTTAACAGTTCAGAGGAATGACGCAGGAATGAAGATGATGCATGATGTCATAGCTGCAATTTATAGTTCACAGCACAGGTACATGGAAATTTACTAGCAGAAATGGAGTCCAGGGTCACATGCCCTTACCACATCTCCTTACATGCTCTGCTGAATCATAGGGCATCAGTGGCTCCAGGCTGTCTGAGGCATCCTCAAGAAGAACAGCAGGGCGAGTTGAGTCCCTTCAATGGCCTATTAACTCATGGATGGGCCATCAGCGCAGAGATAGCCAGTGCTGATGCAAATTTGTCTGGGGGTGTCACCTAGGAACACAAAAGCACAAGTTTGAGATACAAATATATAGCAGATATTCATAACTTCAGATACAAAGATGATACATGCAAATAAACAGGATTATCAATTTAGCAAATCATAACGTTTCTAAAGATACTTTAGATGATTTGTATAAGATTTATTGCAGTTATATAATTAAATGTGATAAATAGCTACCCATCTTTTATATAGCATCACAAGCAGAGATTGCATTTTGAAACTAATTGTATTTTTTACCACCAGGGAATATATACACTGTACCCATTCATTAATGCAAGGATTATAAATGTGTGCATAGAAGATGTTAAAGTGCTGTTAACTCAAGAGAATCCATTCTTAAGTAAATTTAGCAGTGAAACACACAAACGGGTCAAAGACTTGGGTAAGCTTTCTGTTTTTATTATGGCAAAATAGTGCATCTGTAAAACTTGCAAACTCCTTGCAATGAGTTATCCATTCAAATTAATGGAAAATTCAACTACTTTAATATATTAGTCTTAGCCATGACTTCTAGCCATCTATAGTGCAATAGTTAATATAGACATTCTAATGTGCTGGAGACAAGAGCCTTTCCAGAGGCTGTGGCTCCATCTGGCCCCAACTAGGAGCGTAGCTGGGGGGGAGCAGGGGGAACGGCCGCTCCCCCCACTGAGCATATTCACCAAAGGTGGTGCCTTGCTGCCGCCGACTCCGGGTGCTCCGGGGCTGGAGGGAGCGCCCATGGGGAAAAAAGCCCAGCCCAGCTCCCCGGTCCTGGCCTCGAGCACCCGCCCAGCTCACCTCCAGTCCGCTGCCGCCTCCTCCCCTGCCCTGGCTCCCAGTGCTAGCCCTGCGAAACTGATTCGCGGCAAGCCTGGGAGGGGAGGAGAAGGGGGAACGCGGCACGCTGGGGAAGAGGTGGGGCCAGGGTGGGAATTTGGGGAGGGGTCCAATAGGGATAGGGAGGGCGCAGAGTCGGGGCGGGGCAGGGGGCAGGGATTTGGGAAGGGGTCCAATAGGGGCAGGGAGGGGGCGGAGTCAGGGCAGGGCAGGGCTGTTCTTCGGTGGTGGGCCCTTGACTCGCTCCAGGTCTTCAGGGGCACGTCGGTGGCAGGCCCTGCAGAGCCGCCGAAGACCCGGAGCGAGTGAAGGGCCCACCGCCGAAGACCTGGTAGGGAACCACCTGGTGAGTACAAGCCCCCTGTCCCCCCCCATCCAACCCCCTGTCCCCCCTCAGAATCCGCAACCCATCAACCCCGCTCTTTGTCCCCTAACCACCCCCTCCTGAGACCCCCCCCAGGACCGCACCCTCTACCCAACCCCCCCCCCGTCCCCTGACTGCCCCCCCAGAACCTCCGCCCCCTCCAACCGCTCCCTGTCCCTTATCCAACCCCTCCTCCCGGCCCAGCCCCCTTACCATGCTGCTCAGAGCAGCGTGTATGGATTGTAACGACAGAAGAACCTCCCTCTCCCAATTGCCCACCCCTTTAACAACCAGCTTCTAAATTGAATAACCGGTTCACGCAAACGGGCTCCAGCTCACCGCTGGGTACAGGTGCCTCCAAATAATTTTTGAGCGGTGTCATTTTCTTCTGGACAAGCTTCTAACACCCACTCCATGCACTTGAGTGTCAAGTTTTCCTTGGCATTTGGAGTGGGGGCTGAAGGAGGGGGAACAATGACCCCTCGGGTTTGTTTCAGCAACACTAATGGGTGTGGGGGGGGCAGGCAGAGTTGTAGGGGAGAGATCTTTATTGGGCACGCTGAGGCTGCAGAGTTTGTGGGAAGTGCCTGGCCCCGCTTGCGTCCCTGAGCCCCTGGTGACACAGCAAACTAGGTCCTTCGGAAACATGGCCTTCTTTGGCCCAGGTCAGGGGAGATGCTGCTGTCTTGGGTCTGGACTAGAACAGTTCAGAAGCATTCTGCCATTGCAGGATGTGTGTTATAGGAGCAGTCAGAGACCGTAACAAAGATTTGGACCCCCAGGATATTCACGTGGAAGGAGACTGAGCCTGCAATCTATGTGGGCAAGACAGGCCCAGGTTGGGAGGGGAAACAGAGGCACAGAGAGGGGAAGTGACTTGCCCAAGGCCACTTAATGGGTCAGTGGCAGAGCTCAGATCAGGGCCCAGCTCTCCTGATTCCCAGTCCAGTGCCCCATCCACTAGACCCATGCCACCTCCCACATATGTATTGGGTTTGATCCCTTCTTGTTCCACTCAGTCAGGTCACCTTTATGGAAAGGGGCCTATACGGTCTGAAAAAACCCTTCTGGTATTAGGAAGGTAGCTCCTGGAGGCTCCAGCTAGATGAGGGCCCATTGTCCTAGTAAGAGACAGTCCCCTCACTCCAAACAGACAGAGGATGGAGTATTATCCCCATTTTACAGACAGGGAACTGAGGCCCAGGGAGATTAAGTGACTCATCCAAGGTCCCCCCAGGGAGTCTGTGGCAGAGGCAGGAACTGAACCTACATCTCCCAAGACCCAGTCTGTTGCCTTATCTAGAAGCCCATCCCCTAAGCTGCAGATTCCCCCTAAAGAATGGGAAATGCTCCAGAGCTTATGTCTGCACCCCACGCTTTCCAAGATGGCAGCTGAGTTTTCTCTAGCAGCAGCAGGATTGGCTGCTTTATATGCTATATTTACAATACCTCCCGCCCCAGAGATTGTACCCTGGACCTGTAGCCCCACAAGTACCAACCCCCTTGAGCCAAGGGAACTATCCCATTGGCTGTAAGTGAAACTAGCCACTAGGGGGCACCGCACTCCCACAGCCTACCCAATGGTTACACCCATAGATGAGTGAATCTGATTTCCCCCTCCCCCCCCTTTTACTAAAAATACATCCAGGATCAGCCCCCTCCCCCATGCCGGCACAGAAGATGGCCTGGTCCCCACTGAATCCCTCTCACATATCATGCAGTCCCCCTGCATATCTGGGTTGGTGGGGTGCTCCCCAGCACCCCTCGCCACAGATTCTTTTATGCACAATGTAGGCTCCAGCAATAAAACCCAGACACCTAATCTGAGTTCTCAGGCATCTCTCTTGCCTCTCTGCACGAAGCCTTCAGCCACTTGGAATTGCTCACTGCCTTCCCGAATGGGTTTGTAGTTGATATTCTGCGCGTGTCACTGGTAATACTTTGGTCTGATCCTTTGAAGACATTTTGCTGCAGTAAATGGAACTTGGGAGGGTTTTTTTAAAGTGTTTTTTTTTGTTTTTGTTTTACTATTTATTTATTTGGACTGAATGGCGCACTGGAGAGAGGTGATGGATTGATAGTTCTGGTACCTAGTCACCTCTGTTCCTGTAGAACAGGAGAGCAGCAGGGCCAGCCAGCCAGCCCCCCCATGATTCCCCAATGATGGGCTTCTGTAGATAAATCTCTGATAATTTTCATATGACTTTACATGGTGCCTCTTCATATAACCTTGTAGTGGGTCTACCCATGTGTGACCTCTGTTTTCATGAAACTTTGGGTACGTCTACACTTACTTCCTGGTTCGGCGGCAGGCAATCGATCTTCTGGGATCGATCCCGGAAGTGCTCGCCGTCGACGCCGGTACTCCAGCTCGGCGAGAGGAGTACGCGGCATCGACGGGGGAGCCTGCCTGCCGCGTCTGGACCCGCGGTAAGTTCAGACTAAGGTACTTCGAATTCAGCTACGTTATTAACGTAGCTGAATTTGCGTACCTTAGTCTGAAGTGGGGGGTTAGTGTGGACCAGGCCTAAGTATCAAAGCCTCATATAGAAACCTTGTACTGATGAGCCTTAGTGTATGAAAACTTTGTATCAAAGCCTCATGTAGAAACTTTGCATTGCCCTTGGTATAATGTTATAACCCCTAAGAATAGAATAAAGTAGAAGAAAAATGTCTCTTTGCTAAGAATAGACTAAGATTTCCCCTAACCCCTTAATCAGTTGCCCTGTTGAATGAATGAGGAAGGTGTGGAAGTCAGGCACCTCCAGACAGCTGCAACAGTTGGAGAGGGGATGGAAGCCAGACCCAAGGACAATAAAACTTGTCAAGTAGGCTCATGTACTTGTAAAGCAATATCATTCTTGTGTTTTTATTTTAAGTACAAAATAAATATGTATAATGAATTTAAAAGTATGTAATTATTAATTTGATATGTCGGGTGGCGCCTTTTTTTATGTGTTCACTCCCCCTGATATTAGAACCTGGCTACGCCACTGGCCCCAACCCTGGAAGCTTACTAGACTAAGGTTTGTAAACCCTCCAGGACCCAGAGAGCCTGGACTCTTGCATAGAATGTGACCTTCATAGAACCAGAAGAGTCACGGGTCTGGGATTCTCACAAAGCATAAATTCAGCAAGAACGTCTGACTAGCCACATTTCTTAACTCTGCCTATTTTTGTTCCTGCATGTACTTTAGTTGAAGCTGTTCCTAACCCTGCAGGTGTCTTTATTCATTGTATGTTTTAAGGATGGCATTGGCCTTCTCTAGATTAAATATACTAATATTTTATCTAAACAAGTAGGAAAAGATGCTCACTCTGAACTTTTTTTTCTCTGCCTGTTATGTGAAAAACCCTTTTACAAACAGGGCACTGACTATACAGGAGAAACAGTAAAAAATGCCTCTAAGTGTAGTTCTGTCAAATGTACGCAGTAAAGCAAAAGAATTTGTTAAACTCTTTCAGCTATAGTAGTCTTAAGTATTACTTGTAAAAATTCAGACAGAAGTTTGATTCTTCTTCGAGTGATTGTTCACGTCCATTACACATTAGGTGTGTGCGCGCCGCGTGCACGAGCTTCGGAAACTTTTTCCCTCAGCGACTCCCGTCGGGCCGGCAGGGTCCCCCCCTCCCGCCAGAGCGGCGCCCCGCTCTAGCGTACATATATCCCTGCGGGCCCGACCCTCCCTCAGTTCCTTCTTACCGTCCGTGGCGGCGTTGGAACAACTCTGTCTCTCCTCTGAGAGTGTCCCTTAGCGTAGTAATTAGTGTTATCTTTACAGTTATCAGTTCTTAACTGCTAAGCTTAACACTAGCTACTATCAGTTCTTTAGAAAGACTTAAACTTCTTTGTGTTAGGTGTTTGGTCAACCCCGGCACCGGCCCTGGGCGGCGGGGCATGCCGCACGCCCAAGGCTTCAAGGCTTGTGCCACGTGCCGCAAGCCTATGCCATTAAGCGATCCACACGACTCGTGTCTCCGTTGCCTGGGGGAAGCACACCAAAAAGAGCGCTGCAAGATCTGTAAGGCTTTCAAGCCCAGGACTAAGAAAGAGAGAGACTTTTGCCTTAAGCAGCTGCTCATGGAGACAGCGTTACAGCCCTCCACTTCGATGGCACCGTCAACCTCGGTGCGGAGTGCCCCGGCATCGGTCCGTGATCCGGCGCCGGCGGGGCATCCTAAGCCCACGGCACCGAATCAGCGGGAACACCTCCGGCACCGGTCGTCTTCGCCGGCAAAATCGAAGGGCCATCCCAAGGCCCGAGGACGTTCCCCGCATAAGAGGGTAGCGCCCGCGAAGACCTCGAGTGCGCCTAAGGCTGTTGCGGCCCCAGCACAGATCCCGGTGGCAGTGGCTCCGGCGCCGAAAGGCCCGTCGAGCCCCGGGATAGGCGCGTCGAGTGAGGAGGAAGGGCTGGAGGAGCTTTTGGAACAGCCCTCCACCCCGGACACATTTGAGGCAGCAAAGGACCTCATTGAATTGTCCGCGGAGGGCCCCCTCCAAGCTAAGGACAATCCGCCGAGACTGCCATCCAGAGGCAAGCCGGCAATGGTGCGCCCATCACGGTCACCATCTCGGCACCGTTCACGGCGCCGGTCCCGGTCGAGCTCCGCCTCGGTGGACTCCCGGCCTCCTTCCGCGCAGAGAGCCGCACAGCCGTCGGGCCCCAGTAAGCGCCCGGCACTGACCCAGCAGCCCTACTCGAGTAGGCACCGGGACGTGTCAGTTATGCGATCCCCGAGACCGACCACCCGCAGTCGTACCCCGTCCCGAGGTCACCGGTACCGATCCAGGTCGGCAAGACGCTACTCCCAGTCCCGGTCACAGAGGCACTACTCTCCGACCCCGGACCGGCACCGTCCCATGGCACCGCCGTGGCCTTCCAGATCACCTTCCGTGGTTTCGGATGCAGACTCGGGCCAGTCCAACAGATATGCCCACAGGGCACAGGCCAGTAGGGAACACGAAGCCACTTGGCACCCACAATGGGGCCAGCCAGGACAATGGCCATTCTGGACCCCTTGGGCCTACCACCAGCAAGGCCCCCCGTCCAGGACCTCGAGATCTGGCCCCTCGGGACACCGGTCCCGCTCTCCGCAGTGGCGCCCACCCTCTCGCAAGGAGGCTATGGTCTCCAGACGGCCGGAGCGAGAAAGGGTGGACTCGGCACCGAGCCCGGCACCGTCTCAGACCCACGTCATAGAGCAGACTCCAGAGGAGCGCCCAGTCGGTGAGGAGTTGCAGGAGGAGGAAGACGCGCAAAAGGCCCTGACCTCTTCCTCCTCACCAGACGAAGCCGTGGCAGACACAACAGTGTCCGGCCCTCGCCGAGTAGCCCTCAATCTGGGGTTGCAGGCGGAGGAGACGGTAGAGCAGGAGGACCCCATGGTCGACATCCTAAGCCCGGAGGGCCCCCCCAGGATCGCGCTCCCGCTCATAAAAACGGTCCAGTCCAACTACAAAACAGTATGGCAAACACCGGCCTCCAGTGCACCAACTGCGAAAGGCGTGGAGAGGAAATACTTCGCCCCATCTAAAGGGTTCGACTTCCTCTTCTCTCACACAGCACCCTGTTCGCTGGTCGTCTATGCGGTCAACGAACGAGAGCAACATGGCCAGCAAGCCCCGGCCCCCAAGGCCAAGGAGGCAAAACGCTTGGACTTATTTGGGAGAAAGGTCTACTCGTCCGGGGGCCTCCAGTTGAGGATCGCTAACCAGCAAGCGATTCTGAACAGACACAACTTCAATTCTTGGGCATCAGTCTCCAAGTTTAAGGAATCCCTGCCTCAGGGCTCACAACCCGAGTTTGCGGCTATAGTAGACGAAGGGAAGGCAGTAGCCAAAACCTCTCTACAGGCCTCCCTTGACGCCGCGGATGCAGCTGCTAGGACAATCGCGTCAGCAGTGGTAATGAGGCGCTCGGCATGGCTACAGGCTTCCGGCCTTCCCCCAGAGGTGCAAAACACCCTCCAAGACCTTCCGTTTGAGGGGTCAGGCTTGTTTTCGGACCAGACGGATGCCAGACTACATAGTCTGAAAGACTCTAGAGCAACCCTCAAGTCGTTGGGAATGCATACCCCAGTGACACAGAGGAAACCCTTTAAGCCCCAACCACCGCAGAGGCAGTACCGCCCTCGTCCTAGACAGGAACCGTACCACAGAAGGGGCAGGGATAACAGGCGTAGACGTAACAACACGCCTAACCAGGGCCAGAATCATGGCCAAGGCAAGCAGCAGCCAGGAAATAAGCAAGGGTTTTGAAGCTGCGATCGAGGACAGCGTACCAAACTCTATTCCGGATCCCCCTCTATGTTTCAGGGACCGCCTGTCCCATTTTTACAGTGCTTGGTCACATATAACATTGGACCGCTGGGTCCTGTGCACGGTGGAGGCGGGCTACACCCTTCAGTTCTCCTCGCCCCCTCCCTCCCACCCCCTGGGTTGGGGGGCACACCTGGGGGATCTGCGGACCCAGGGCTTATGGTCCAGGGAAGAAAAGTTGCTTCACATCAATCTGAAGGAGTTAAGGGCGGTTCGCCTCGCCTGCCAGACCTTTCACGCTACCATAGAAGGCCACAGCGTGTCAGTTCTGACGGACAACACTACCGCCATGTTCTACATAAACAAGCAGGGCGGGTCCCGATCCTCTCCCCTCTGTCACGAGGCGCTCCTCCTATGGGACTTCTGCATAGCCCATTCAGTCCACCTACTCGCAACATATCTCCCAGGGGCCCAAAACGGGTTGGCAGACCGCCTCAGCCGGTCCTACCACATGCACGAATGGATGTTGAGACAGGACGTCCTGCATTTAATCTTCCAGAGGTGGGGGTTTCCCCAGGTGGATCTCTTCGCCACCAAGAGCAACAGCCAATGCCCTCAGTTTTGTTCATTCCAGAACCTCAGCCCGGGCTCGTTGGCAGATGCCTTCGCGATTCCGTGGGGTGGGAGCCTGAGGTATGCCTTCCCTCCATTCCCGCTCATCCACAGGGTCCTCCTCAAGACCCGCAGGGACAAGGCGACAGTCATCCTCATTGCCCCAGCGTGGCCACGCCAGCACTGGTTCACGACCCTGCTGGAACTGTCCGTGACCACCCCGATCACCATCCCCCTCCATCGCAACCTCATCACACAAGACCGGGGTCGCCTACTCCACCCGAACCTACCGTCGCTACATCTCACGGCGTGATATCTCTCTGGCTAAACGATACGGAGCACAGGTGCTCCCACCAGGTCCAGCAAATTCTCCTTGATAGTAGGAAGACCTCCAGAAGAGCGACCTACCTTGCCAAATGGAAAAGGTTCTCCCACTGGTGTGAGCCTCATCACATACAGCCTCTGCAGGCCTCAGTCCCATCAATTCTGGACTACTTGCTACACCTCAAGCATCAAGGGCTCGCCCCCGCCTCAATTAAAGTGCATCTGGCTGCCATATCGGCGTTCCACCCTGGGGAGTTAGGGGTTTCGGTGTTCTCCAACCCCACAGTAGTCCGATTCCTCAAGGGGCTGGAGAGGGTGTTTCCCTACTCGCGCCCGCTGGTCCCTGCGTGGAATCTCAACCTGGTCCTGACTAAACTCATGGGGCTGCCCTTTGAACCCCTAGCCTCTTGTTCCCTCATGCACCTCTCATGGAAGGTAGCGTTTCTCGTGGCCATCACATCGGCTAGGAGGGTATCGGAATTGAGAGCCATCACTTCAGAACCCCCTTATACGGTTTTTTATAAGGATAAAGTGCAACTGAGGCCGCACCCTAAATTCCTTCCAAAGGTGGTCACGCATTTTCATATGGGACAGGACATTTGTTTACCGGTGTTCTTCCCTAAGCTCCATACGGACCCAAGCCACCGCAGCCTGCATACTCTCGATGTCCGTAGAGCCTTGGCATTTTATCTAGAACGGACCAGGCCATTCCGCAAATCGACTCAACTGTTTATTGCCATTGCGGAGTGAATGAGAGGCCAACCTATCTCGACGCAACGCTTGTCGGCCTGGATTGTGCTTTGCATACGCACATGCTATGAGCTCGCCAACGTACCAGCCCCGGAGGTCAGGGCTCACTCAACTAGGGCCCAAGCGTCCTCGGCGGCTTTCTTGTCGCAGGTTCCACTCCAGGAGATCTGTAAAGCGGCCACCTGGTCGTCAGTGCATACGTTCACAGCCCACTACGCGATCCATCATCAGACCAGAGAGGACGCGGTGGTCGGCAGGGCTGTGCTTCAATCAATTGTTCCTTGACTCCTACCCTCCTCCAATAGTAAGCTTGTGAGTCACCTAATGTGTAATGGACGTGAACAATCACTCGAAGAAGAAAAAACGGTTACTTACCTTCTGTAACTGTTGTTCTTCGAGATGTGTTGTTCACGTCCATTACACTTCCCACCCTCCTTCCCCTCTGTCGGAGTCACCGGCAAGAAGGAACCGAGGGAGGGTCGGGCCCGCAGGGATATATATACACTAGAGCGGGGCGCCGCTCTGGCGGGAGGGGGGACCCTGCCGGCCCGACGGGAGCCGCTGAGGGAAAAAGTTTCCGACGCTCGTGCACGCAGCGTGCGCACACCTAATGTGTAATGGACTTGAACAACACATCTCGAAGAACAACAGTTACAGAAGGTAAGTAACCGTTTTTTTTAGTTCTTTCATGCTAGGGTTCTATATAATCTTGCATCCATACTCATCACAATGGTATCTGCATGCCTGATGCTGTCCCTTTAAGATAAAATGTAGACACAAAAGTATTCTTCCAAAACTCTAACCTAGTCTTTTGGCCAACATTCTGTGACTTCTGATTTATTTTTGAATACTTCAGATGGAACCCGTAACCAGATTTGTAGAGAGAAATTTTTATTATTCTAGAATTCAGGCATATATTGGTTTCTATGAGGATGGTTTTTTTGCGATAAGGCTGTTCTGATTGCTGTACAACAATACACATTTTGCTGTTAGAACATTTTGGAATCACAAGTATTTTTAATATGTTTCCAAGTAAATTTACCTAATCTTTCTTTGCTAGCAATGGGGAGCATTGTCCTGAAGTATGAACCAGATCCCAGGTAAGTAGATGCTTTACTAATATATATTTTTTCACTTATCCCCACTCAGAAAATGTGTAAGAGAAATACATGTGAATATAGAAACAAAAGCACGTAACTCATTACAATGGGTCTTTATCTTGAATTTCAGTGTCAGTTTTAAGCATTTGAGCATCTTTCGAAATGAAAATATTTGCTGTGAATTAATTTTCACTGTATTTGCTGATTAGAAAAATAGGCTTCCGTTAGTTTAGTGGTTATGCCTAGCAACAGCCAAGTGGTACTTCACTCCATCATAGGCAGTGTTGGAGCATGAAAATTATTCATAAATGTGGCATTAGCACTTCATACATTTAAAAAAAAACTAATGTTGATTCTCCTTAAATTTGGTCAATAAATGTTGTTTTTTAAATCTTCTTTCAGCCATGGATGTTAGGGCCCCTATTTTTGTTTGGTCCTGAACTTGTCCTTCAGCATTGCAGGTGCAGCTTGGTGCTTCTAATTTACATGCCAAAGTGATTTGTAAATGTGATTAGGCAGTTAGGATTCTAAATGGGTGCAGTTGTGGAGGCCATTTTTGTAAACTCGCATTTCTAAAAGGTCATGGCAGATTAGGGCTTGGCTACACTGGCACTTTATACCGCAATAAAGCCTCCCAGAGCGCTCTACCTTACTCCCGGTCCACACTGGCAAGGCACGTAGAGCGCTCTGAGTCCCTGGCTAGAGCGCTCCTGGTACTCCATCTCCACGAGAGGGATAACAGCTGTTGCGTATTGGCTGAGACACCCCTGGGCCAGTGTAAACGGGGAGTTAAGTTACAGCGCTCTGATTGACCTCTGGAAACGTCCCATAATCCCCTTAAATCAAGGGGCCTCTCTTCTCTTTGTTGTGAAATCGGCTGAGGAATGCGGAAGTGTCTTTTCAGAGCTCCGTTTCAGACAGCGTCTGTTTATCTGCAACGGGGCAAAGCAAACGTTTACTGAGTGAGTGAGAGGCAGGGGGGCTCGGTGGATCTGAACTTACAAGATAGCTTGCTGACACACTCTCAACACTCCAAAAACCCACTCTCTCTCTCCTCCCGCATACAAATAACACACTCCACCCCACCCCTCTCATTTGAAAAGCACGTTAGCTGCCCATAATGCACCGCTCCCAATGCTGCAAATGTGGCCACGCCACTGCGCTTGCAGCTGTCAGTGTGGACAGACTAGAGCGCTTTCCGTAGTGCGCTCTCTGAAGGCTGGTTTAACCCAGAGCGCTCTACAGCTGCAAGTATAGCCAAGCCCTTAGAGGTTAAGCAGACTTTGCACTTCACCTTCACTATTGTCAGAGCTCTGAATGTAAATACAAGGCTTGAAATATTTATTAACTCAAAGACTAAGCCAACTAGCCTCAAATAAATAAAGAAAAATGTGAATGGAAGCCCACCAGTAAGGTCAAGAACAATACCAGGCAGGGGAGACATATCCAACACATACTCTCTATTCCTCCTTATGGTCTTGGGGGTTTTTTTGGCTCCTCCTTCCCCATTAACAACTCCAGTGCTTATCTCTGTTGCTGCTAATAGCTTTGCGGAGCACAGCCCTACAGTGAAATTAACATAGTTCTTTACCAGTTTCACTGCTGCCTGCAGGGTTTGGAATAGAAAAAGTGAAAATGACTCTTGTCTTGTCTGTCTTTACTTTGTAAAACGCAGAGCAGTAGCAGAGGCATTGGAGTTGTCAGTCAACTCACGAAGGTAACAGCTCACATGGAGAAAATTACCTTTGAAATTGTAAGGACCAGACAGTTTTATTTTAAAGGAAAGCTTAAATGATGCAGAAATGGATGGCTTAGTAGGAAAACTTTCTGTTTGCCAATGGCAAGTTGGATGAGTATATTTTTTTTTCAAACTTCTATACATCTGGTTTAAGTTTGATCAATGGATTCTCTGTCTTTTCCATATATGAAAAGAATCCTGGGATTTAAAAATTCTTCCCTTCCTCGCTACTGTGTAAGGAAACGGAAAAGTATGTTGAAAAATTGGAAAGGGTGCAGAAAATAGCCACAAAAATTATTCAAGTGCTGAAGAAAATGCTTTATGGAGTTCAATCTGTTTAGGTTATCAAAAAGAAGATTGAGAGGTCACTTGACTGCAGTGTATAGGTGCCTTCATGGGGAGAGAATACTGGGTACTCAGGGCTTTTAAATCTAGGGGAGAAAGATGTAACAAGAACCAGTTTTTGGAAGCTGAAGCCAGACAAATGAAAATAAGAAAAAAAGCGCACACACCCCTTTTTCTTAATTTTTTTTTTTTTTCCCTTGGCAGTTTGTTCCAATGGCTAGTGAGAGATTCTCCAACTCCATGTTTTCGGATCAAAAGTGGATGCCTTTCTGGAAGGCATGCTTTAGGCTCAGTACAGGGTAATTAGGTGAAATGTAATGGCCTGTGACAAATAGTGCCTTTTGGCCTTAGTCTATTCTCCTATTTGATCAAACTCCATGAATCTATGAAATATGAATTTATATAGCTATTGCTCTACCTGCCTGTATGTTCCTCTCACAATCTGTAATATTGACTTGTCCTTATCAGTGTTTAACCAGTGCTGGATTAGGTATTGCATTAAAAGTAAAATTGCTGTTAGAGATACATAATACTGTTGCCTTGCTGTATTGAAATCATGTGTATAGCTATTAAATGAGAATTCATTTCTACAGAAATATTTTAAATATTAATTTACTCAATCTTTACCAAACACTAATTTTTTAATAGCAAACCTGATACCCTTCAGTGCCCTATTGTTCTGTGTGGCTGGCATGGAAAGACCTCACTTCGTGCCTTTGTGCCCAAGAATGAGAGACTTCATTACCTGAGGATGATGGGAGTTGAAGTGTTTAAAGCAAAGAGGAAAGAGGAGAATTTTGAAAGTAAAACAGAGGAAGGAGATCAGGACAGCACAAAGCACATGGAGGAAGAGATGGATATGGAACACAATGAATTAGCCACAAAAATGGAGGCAGAAGTGGACGAAGAACCTATTCACGAGCTTATGGAAAGCAGTGTTATAGAACCAGAGAATAAAATGGGAAATGTCCAGCCTTCCAGTGAAAATGCTGAAAATAGAGACATTGCTGACCTTAGTAGTGTGAAAGCTTGAGTTTTCACTGTCTGTCATTTTGGCGTTACTTTTATGAGATGTAATCTAGACTTTTGTCTTCAGTATGTAAATACACTTTTAAAACTGTTTCAGTTTCTTGGGGGAGGTTGAAATCTGGCATGTGGTATTCTTTTTACAGAAGTTCCTTCCTGTTTTATTTTTTAAATAAAAAAAAAATCTTCCCCTAAGAGTCTTTCTTGTTCTTCCCATTTAACTCCATAGGATTGCTTTCTGTGGCAGCTTGTTTCCAGGTACCCTTAAGGTATAGTGCCCAGGTAGAGTGCAATGCAACAGTCTAGTCTTGAAGTGACAGAGGCATGGATTACAAAAGCATGGTAGGCATCAGGAAGGGATGCAGGAGCACATGACACCAGTGTTGCAAAATCTGTGTTGGTTGCCCCACTGGGTAATTATGGGTGGAATTTAAAGTATTGGGTTTGATACACAAAGTACTAAATGGCTCAGAGCCACTTTTACCAATTCAGTGATATCCCACAGCTACAACTAACTGATCCGTAATCTCAACGACATTATCAGACTAACGGTCTCTATTTCAGTTTTGTATAATTTCATGAAGAATGTCCGATCGTCTGACATTGTGTTAAAGAAAATAAGTGAACAAAAAAACACACTTGAGTACCTTTCCCAGACCTGAAGAGCAGCCCTGTATAGCTCGAAAGCTTGTCTCTCACCAACAGAAGTTGGTCCAATAAAAGGCATTACCTCACCCACTTTTTTTTCTTTTTTAAAGTCTCATGTAGTAACAAACTTTTCTCTTAAGAATTTATGAAAAAAGGTTAAGAAAACTATTCTTCAAACTCATATTTCATTTGTTAAAGATGAGTCCATTTTGGAAATGAAAAGCCTGCTAAATATATTTTAAATGAAAGTTAGGATTCTTTCCTCTATTGTTTGATCAAATCAACTTGAAATTGGCTATGCTACTTTTGGGCAGCTTTATAAACTGGAAAATGACTTAGCAGAGCTTTCCCTTGAGAGCTGTTTGTATGCCAACAACTTCCAAATAAATTCCTAACTCTCTCTAATTCTCTCTTTTAGGGTGACTTGGATTTCATGCTGTTTTAATATTGGCATCCAGACCGTTCATATTTGCTTGTCTGCATTTGAGAATTAAGCATTTGATTTGAGTGGATGGCAGGAGTGAAATATTTGTTGTATATTTGAACCTTAAGGTCTCATGTACAAGTCCTGCAATGTCCTCTCCCCGTAATATAGTAACTCTTATCCAATCAATACTGTTGATCAAAGCTGTTAGAACATAGTGTAGAAATTCACCCACTCAAATTCTCATTTGTCTGTATGGATTTTTATTTTAATGATGCCTGCCATTATGTTGCTATCTAATGGAAAGCCACCCATGAGCAGGTTGCCTGAGCTGGTAGGATTGACTGACTTTGTCAACAAGTTCACATCGGCATCAGTATATTTAAATACTTCAAATTGGTAATTTTTTTCCCGTTTACATCAATAAAAGGTTGGTTTTGTTTTTTTGTTTGTGGTTCTAAAGATAATGTAAACCAAAGAATACTCTTAATATCTACCATTGTTTGGCACTTGGAGTTTCCTCTTGCTAAATGCTAATGCAAAATTCATTCTAATTTTTTTATACGGGCAGCAAGGGGAAGAGGAAGGGGCCAAACTGCTGCAGTGGGCAAAGCAGAGGGTGTGGAGGTCCACCAGCCAAAAGCAGTGGAGGGCCAGTCCACAAAGGAGGGAAAAGGCATATGTGCTTGTGCACTCAGTCTATGCTGGCTGCTGCAACAGTCCCAGATGGTGGAGGAGGGTGCGGCAAACAGCTGAGTCCAGGAGTGAGGAGTGGAGGCAGATGGTAGGCAACGGTGGTGGAGGGGACAGTGGTGTTGGTTGGGGGGGGGGGAGCAGATGGATCGGGGGAGGGCTCTGCAATATACCCCCTCCTTCCCGCAGCAACAGTAATTACCACCACAAGAGCAAAGGTGGAAAACAGTTACTCAGTTCTGCAGTAGTCGGTCCAGACTTCAGTGACAAGGGGCTAAAATTACTATTTCATTCTCCAGGAAATTTGTCAATCAAGGATTATTATTAATAAACTGTGATGCTGCTTCGGACTCTTGCTTCACCCCACATATGCAGTGACAGAGATGATGTTCTTGTCCTGACTCAACTTAATTCTTGCAAAGAATGGATAATTCACACAATGTCTGGCCCAGAGCAGTAGGTGAATCAATCCTATCTTCTCAGGCTATCTCCTTTCCATACATGCTATCTATTTATTTTCCCACTCACTGTTTTCTATAAGATTTTTGTGGGAGAGAGTGGAATAATCATGTTCCATCAATACTGGTGGTATTGCATCTCTTAATTTACCATTGGTTGAGTTGCTAAGATAGCAACTCTTACTGGTCTGTATAGAAATACTTGTTCAAAATGGCATCTCCATTATGCTCCAAACATTTTCCAGGCTTGGAATCTTATATTTTTCCTGAAATGTATTCTGCAATAACATGTTACATAGCCTAATGTTCAAATGGCTGAGACATGTTTGTCAACATTTTGTATTGAGCATCGGCTTCATGTATCCCTGAAGTTACACACTGCAGAAAAGGAGACAAAAGAGAGCGTCAGAGAGACTAAGCAATTATAATACTGTTAGAAATGTTTCCAAAGCCTCTGGAAATACAATGGATGAAAAGTCCTTTTAGACTTGTGGAGAATTCCTGCAATTAATCAGTGTTCAGTAAACACAAAAGAAATGCAAATGTGTGATAGGTGGTAGCAGAAGTTTGCTTGTTTTGCAGGAAGACTGGCTATGGACAATATTTCACACTTGGGGATCTTTTACTCCAGAACTAGGTGACTTGACTCATCTAGCTCCCACTTGAAAGTGCAAATATCAATTCCTATAAGCTTTGTACTGTGGCTGACATGCCAGGAGATCTAGGAGTGTGATCTGTGGTTCGAGAGGAACCTCATGCTTTAATTCTTTAACTTGAGATATAATTGTGTCTTCTATCTGAAGAGGTTGAAAGAAAGATTGAAGGGTGGGGGGGAGAATACCATAAGGAGAAAGAACGAGGAGTCTGGTGGCACCTTAAAGACTAACAGATTTATTTGGGCATAAGCTTTCATGGGTTAAAGACCATGCATCTGAAGAAGTGATTTTTTACCCACAAAAGCTTATTCCCAAATAAACCTGTTAGTCTTTAAGGTGCCACTGGACTCCTCGCTGTTTTTGTGGATACAGACTAACATGGCTACCCGTGTTCTCTGATAAGGAGAAAGGCTTGTGGTGAAGGAACCAAGGAGACGTTCTAGTAATCTGACCCACTTGCACTGTTTACCCACAAAAACAACGAGGAGTACTTGTGGCACCTTAGAGACTAACTAATTTATTTGGGCATAAGCTTTTGTGGGCTACAGCCCACTTCATCAGATGCATGGAGTGGAAAATACAGTAGGCAAGTATATACAGTACATGAAAAGATGGGAGTTGCCTTACCAAGTGGGGTGTCAGTGCTAACGAGACAATTCAGTTAAAGTGGAAAATGGGCTATTCTCAGCAGTAGAATAACAAGGGAGGAAAAATCACTTTTGTAGTGGTAATGAGGCCAATGTAATCAGGGTGGCCCATTTCAAACAGTTGACAAGAAGGTGTGAGTAACGGTAGCAGGAAATTAGTATGGGGAAATTAGTTTTTGTAGTGACCCATTCACTCCCAGTCTTTATTCAGGCCTAATTTGATGGTGTCCAGTTTGCAAATTAATTCCAGTTCTGCAGTTTCTCGTTGGAGTCTGTGTTTTTTTGTTTTGTTTTTTTTTAAGCATTGCCACTTTTAAGTCTGTTATTGAGTGTCCAGGGAGATTGAAGTGTTCTCCAACTGGTTTTTGAATGTTATAATTCTTGACATCTGATTTGTGTCCATTTATTCTTTTGCGAAGTGCGGTTTGGCCAATGTACATGGCAGAGGGGCATTGCTGGCACATGATGGCATATATCACATTCGTAGATGTGCAGGTGAAACAGAATGACAGAGCCAGAAGGGTACCCAGAAGTCACCTACTACAGGACAGGCCCAACAAAGAAAGTAACAGAACGCCACTAGCCGTCACCTTCAGCCCCCAACTAAAACCTCTCCAGTGCATCATCAAGGATCTACAACTGGACACCATCAAATTAGGCCTGAATAAAGGCTGGAAGTGGATGGAAGTGGGTTTTAGCCCACGAAAGCTTAGGCCCAAATAAATTTGGTAGTCTCTAAGGTGCCACAAATACTCCTCGTTATTTTTGTTGATGCAGACTAACACAGCTACTACTCTGAAACCTGTTTACCCACAGTAGCCCATTCTAATTTATTTTTAAAAAAGTAAATAGATTTTAATAATGCCTGCGATTTGTTTCAAAATTAGTAGGCTGCACCCTGTTAAGGATTTGGGGTGAGATTTTTGAAAGCCAAGTGACTTGGGAAAACAAATGACACTGAAAATCAATGGGGCTTGTGTTTTGAAGTCTCTTAAACTGTTGAAAATTCCACTGAAGATACTTTGTGTTTGCTCTCACAGTAAGAAATAGTTCATGCATTGCTCCTCATTCATGGATCTCAAAGTGCTTTACAAAAGAAAGTGGTGGTATATTCCTGGTAGGAATGAGGAAACTGAGGCACAGAGAGGGGCAGTGATTTACCCAAGGTCACTTAGCAAGTTAGTGGCAGAGCTGGGAATAGAACTCATGTCTTCTAATTATTAGGTCAATGTTCTATAAGAAAGAAGACTTAGACAAGCTGGACAAGTTAAATGGCTAGCAATGTATTTATTTATTTGTATGATCATAGTGCTTAGGAGCCCTAGTCATGAACCAAGACTGCATTGTGCAAGGCACTGTATAGTCACAAAAGGACAGTCCTTGTCGCAAAGAGCAGCTTACCATCTAAGTAAGTTTGGCTATGTCTGTCTTGCAGTCTTATAATTGCTACAGAGCTTTAGCATCATCTGAGGTTTGTAACAATCACATAGTGATGTTCAGTACTATAATGTAACCAATTTGTACGCTTGGTTTTTTTCCACAGCACAACTTACTCAGTGTAAGCATGAATCTAGTACTAATAGATGAAATTCAATTAAAAAAGAGTGATGTCCAAATTAAATCCTTGTTCTCCTAAAACAATTGGTGTATGTGGTTAATCATAATGTACAGTGTAATCCAATGTCTAAAAATCAAATAA